GTGTCTAGTCTGTTGGACGCACAAGTGGAATAATACTCCCGTTCTGTAATGTTTGGAAAACTGAAATAGTTTTTGAGGAGAGAGATTCTTGAGGAAAAAAAACAAAACAAAAAAATTTGACCAATGTCAAATAAATCATGTATAGATATCAGAATTAATATCAAAACCTTGAATGCTAAAGGTACCAAGACTCTCAACATATCCACCCACCACCCCATGACCTCATCATGCTATTTGAGCTGAAACGCATCTCATAAGACTGACTGTGGGGTCTAAAGCAGGGTATGAGACGAAATATCAACCGATTAGAGCTAAAGTGAGATTTCTCTTTGACTCGAGGTGTAGTTGCTGTCATCCTCAGGAATTTTATTTTATAATTTCTTTTTTTGTTTGTTTTTGTTTTGCTTGTAGTCTCAGATAAAAGATTTTAATATTTAATAAGTGCTGCTATTCATTGTTTGAATAAAGTAAATTATACCTTTGAAAAAATATATATATTTTTACAATTTATTTTTTGTTTTTGTTTTTTTTTCCTAATGAAGGCTCTGTTTTTGATGGTGGTTGGGTGATCTGTTTAGTTTATTATTAAAATATTCCCCTGCAACCTTGTAGCACATTATATTTAATGGCTAGAGACAGAGCTAGTCTTTATATAATGATCTGTGGCCCTTTCCCTGAGATAAAGGTCAACTAAAAATACATAAAACTTAATAAAAAATTTTTTTTTTTTTTTTAATTAATTTTTTTTTTTTTGCATTAAGAAAATGAAGTTGGTTTTAGAATAAAGATCATTTGTATCATTTTCACCACTAAGACAATTTGCCCCAAATTCGTATTACTGCAAACCATCTTAATGTGTTTTTCCCCTCAGTAGGTTCCTTTTTTTTTTTTTTTTGTAACTGTAAAGAGTGGGCAGATGTTTAATTTGTCTGGAAAATAATGCAATCCAATTATGGTTCTAAAAATCTGCTTCCTTTTTTATTATTGCAAAATATAATTTCTTAATTCTCTCTTTTGGTTAAGGGTGAAATAGTGATCTGTGAATATTGACAGATTTCCTGAGATTCACCGAACTATAGCCAAACTAATCTTGCCACACACCCACCAAGTCAGCTGTCACTCAAAGTTTTGATTGTCTTTCCCATGTTCTAATTAAATGATCATTTCTGGACTGGTGTCCGATGGTCCATAGGGGGCAGTGTTTGCCATTACACTGAGCTCTGGTTCAGAGAGTCTCATCATACAGATTCTCAGAGCCATTTGATGGCTGTTTTGTTGGTCTGTTGGCCGCCAGAGTCCAATTTCTCCTCCTCTAGGATTTTGCAGGTAGTTTTCTGTTTAAAGAGATTATTATTTGTGTTGTTATGATATTTTGATGCACACACCATTCAATATCTTGAATTCCTGATCTGAAGTGTTCCTGAGAAAAGGGGTTGTCACTTTGTTCTACAGCTTTGAACTCGGCCAGATTGTGTATAGATCCTTTATGCAAAAGAATCAGACCAAAAAAAAAAAAGGAAAAGAAAAGATCTGTTTTAATGTTATCAAAAAAGTAAAAAAAAAAAAAAAAAAAAAAAAAAAAAAAAAGAAGAAACTTTACAAGAAAGGTACTTTACACAAATAGACATTTAGCGAAGGCTAGTTTTCCAGTCCCATAAATGTGGTGTTCCTCAAAGCTCTGTCCTCGGACCATCATTGATTGTGTAATCTGTAACTGTGGAGAGAGGGCATTATGTATGCACAAGTTAATTATTTGAAAACGCATTAAACTGGATCACATCAAATTGAATATTGTACCCCAGTGCAGTGATGGACATGTATGGTATGGTACACAATTTCTTTATTTTATGCAGCTCCTATGTTACCAAGTGGTTTAATTTTAGTACTCCCTCTTTTCATCCTTGTCCCCTTAAAAATTAAGATCAAGCTTCACTTTAACATAAAATGACCCCAGTCTAAACCTTACAGTGATTTGCCTTGCGTGACCACATTGAGAGTTCTTGGGGGGAAAAAAAAGTAAAAAATTGTCCCATCCTATTTGTTTTAATTGTATATAGAAATTTAATACACAAATTTAGATGCAGTTTGCAGTTCATTTTCCCATCTGATGTTTTGTATGTCTATTTTGGTTGTGCGTCACAATCAAAATAATGACATCAGTGGAGCCATTGTAATAATATTAAGTGCTATTATAGTGATACATGCAACATCCGGCTATATTGAGGGCATTTTGCCTTTTGTTTGTTTCTTACTGAAGACAGACGCACCCACAACACAACACACACATATACACACATTCAGACATTTAAGCACTGATTTAAAGGAGAAAAAAAAGCATGTTTGATTTGTATTGATCAGTTTGATTGGTAAGTATTGATTATCATTGCCGCAATAATGCCATGCTGAAGGGAGGATGTTTTCAGTGCACTTGAAGTTTGCTTCTTTTCTTTATTTTGTCTTGATTTCTTGCATGCTGCTGTTTTTGTTTTTTTCTTTGAGTTATTTTCTCTCCTTCCCCACTTTGTATAGACAGACAGTTGTGCTAAGTGTGATGGGTAGATAATGCTGGTGTGTTCTCCTGCGGTGAATGCTTGTCAGGCAGGCAGCAATACAGTACATTACTGTAGGTGCTGATTCAGACTTTATGATGTCATCTCAGAAAGGGTGACTTTTAATGACATTTAATGCAAAATGTAACATATGTGAATAAAATACACAGATGCTCTGATATGCCTTTGCGTGTTTTTGTTCTGCCGCCCCCCCCTCGTTTTTCCAAACATTTAATCCAGAAATGTTGTTACATCTGTACAATCCACATATTGAAATAAAAATTTGCTCTCGCCAGCTGGTTATGCAAACATGTTTATTAAGATATTAAATAAAATGTATTTATTTAGTTAGTAACACTTTAGGTTAGGGAACACTTATTAGCATGCATAATTGGCTGATTATTAGTACTTATAAAGCACATATTTCAATGCCTTATTCTGCATGATATGTTCTAGATCCCTAATCCAACCCCATACCTAAACATAACTACTACAAACAACTATCTTACTATTAATAAGCAAATTATGCGTTTATTGAGGGAAAACTATTATATTTATAGTTAATAGTGAACATGAGTTCACTAATCTAAAGTTTTACCATTTATTTATTCATTAATTCATGCATTGATTGATTCATTCATTCATTCATACACACCACGGGGCGGTTAAATATATAAATATGCAATTATTTTCCGGGAAACGCAGAGGAAGTAGTTCCAGGTTTGTCGACCATATTACATGTCCATATCACTTCGCCAAATTATTTCAAGTTCCATACCTTACAGCCTACAGTAGATGAGCCAAAATTCACGAAGCAAACAAACGAATGAATGACAAACAATTTACATGTTTTTCTTTTGCTATATATGGATAATAAAATGCTTTCTCCTGCTCGCTCTTTCTCTCTCTTTCATGCACACTTCTTGACAGCGCCGCGCTACCCTGCGATTGACTTTATAGATTAAATAGTTTGCAAGAATCATAACTGAAAAGCTGAGGTGGTAACGTCGCTGTTTTTGATGCAGTTAAACTTACAGATTCGCTATTAGTACAGACGCTACAGTTTAGAGACGCACAGGTAGGCTAATTCACACACACTTAATGTCTCTCTGTCTCTCTCATGCCTGCATACCAACGGCTCAAGTCTATATATATGTAGTCAATATGTTTCTAGTTGTGGTAACAGTGATTTAATATAATAAGTGGAATGATTGACTCTGGTCCATCGAATTATTGAAAAACGCTTCGCGTCGAGGGCGCATTTGAATTATGCATTATTAATATGCCTAGGCTATATATTACCATTCAGAAATATTTTGTCAGCGTAAAGAAATTAATACTTTTATTAAGCGAGAGTACAACAACAGTGTAGGGACACTGTTTATTTATTTTATTTAAACATACAGACACTGACAGCATGGTGTTTTATTTAAATAAATGGAGCATTTAGGTAGATGTAAAAAAAAATAGGCAAACTTAAACCTTATTAATTATAGTTTCAGTTCAAGTTGTGGGGATACATGGCATACATTTATTTTAATGTCATTGTCTAAATTTGAGCTAAATGCAGCAGTTCATTTTGCTGAAGTCTGGTAACTGACCGCATCATATTAATGAGAGTCTTGTCTTTTCTCATGAGGGTTCTTTGTGGCCACTAGAGGCTCAGTTTATCTAGGCCGAGAGAGAACATGATGACCCTTTCTGTACCAATTAGTTACAGCAGATAATATGAATTCTGCAAACGTTAACACAGAACATATCAATCTGTTTTCTGATTTATTGTTTGTTAAAGCCAAACACATTCACAACCGTGTTATAATTGATCAGACAACAGACACAGCATTAGATTCGCTCCATTAGACTCAGCGTTTGCTAAACGAGTGTACCATTCATCTGTCTAATGGCTCAATCTTCAATGATGTTGTGCTGCGGCCCAGAAACCAAACCCTGTAAACATGTTTGTGAGCTGAATGGAAAGTGGGTTGGCAACACAATAGCTGCCTGGATGACACACTGACCAATGCACCGCCTACATTGTGCATGACATCGTAGCGTATTAGCTTAGCAAACTGTATTTGTTTGGATGGTTGCAGTTTCTGTTTATGCAGGTTTTATCGAAAAATGCTTTGTAATGGATGCTGTGAATATTTTGATGCCGCATGCATTCCAGCAACTACCGTAGGTATTATTATCATCTGAAATAGGTTGTTATTTGTTATTTTTAAGGACCATTAAGTTTTGCATTTTGACCTTCCTTTTTAAAGTCCGTCTTCACAAATTCTGCATTACATTTAAAATGATTGCCTCTTGTATGATTTAACCCATCATCCAGCTGTTTGTAAGTGTTAAATTGCACCCGTGCTTGTGCTAGCACTGGTCATGTGTGCACACTGCTTCCTCTCTGAAGCGCTCACACAGGAACTTATCAAATTCTAGTGAATTATTAACCTCAGGACAGCTAGGAAGGTTTGAAAATCACTTCGGATATGTCAGAAACCGGCTATGGCAGGTAGGTCTTCTCTAAATGTTTGTTTTAACTGGTTGAAAAAAGAAATTAGAATGTCAAAAAAAGCCATTAGTGCAGTACAAGGCCACAAAGAAACACCGGTGGACATGATTACAGGTGATGTGCTGAGTGATCCTGGGTGCTGCGATAGGTTATTTGATAATCCACAGAACAGCATCTACACCGCTTGAGCTAGTGTACGCTTACAATTAGAATGAACCGCTCTGTTATTTTTAGTATGATTCTTTAATATTCTTACAGGAAATGCCAGTGGAAGAACCAATGCGGTCCAAAGCAGGTAAGAAACATCATCTTGAGCATTTTAGAGAAATATTTTTTTTATTGATTTCAAGACAACTTAAATGGAAAAGTGAGTTTAATTTAGTTTATTAGGATATATAAATATTATTTATTGGGAAATATAAATCATATTCAAGCATAAAAAACAACAACAAAAGTATCTGGACACTTTATTGACATGAAGTGTTATATATAAAGTCAGTTCCCCTTAACCACACTGAGACATTTGTAGGTGTCCAAATATTTTTTGGGGGCCACTGTATTTTTTAGCAGCATCACGACATATTCCCAAACTGACATGTTCTTTGATTAAAATACATTGTTTCTACTATATTGGCTCAGCCTGACAAAATTTTGTTTAATCTCATATTGATTTAAATAGAAATGGCTCTTGACTGACATGATGCATATAATTTGATCTGTGTGTCAAGGGCTGTATTGATAATGAGTGTTTTTAGGAGTGTAATGTATGGTCTAATGAGTGTATATCCAATTAAAGCTCATGATAAATGTGTGTGTGTGTAGTTTCTCAGGGTGCTATCTAACCCTGAGGTGTGTGTGTGTGTGTGTGTGTGTGTGTGTGTGTGTGTGTGGGAGTGTGTGTGTGTGTGTGTGTGTGTGTGT